TAAGCTTTTAAGACTACAAGATCAAGTATGACATACCAATGAGAAGATCAAGACTGAAAACCCATCAGTCAAGTACATCTGAATATGCTAGCCTCTTTAAACGGAAAATTAAAGGGGGAGGAACTTCATTAGCATCACTGCAGATGCTTGAATTAGTTTATTACTCCACAACTCTGATACTCTTATTAGACTCTTCACAACTTAAACTAGCAGACATCCAATTTATATGGAAAAAATTGTCTGTATTTGCGCTAAAGTTTTCAGGGGAAGGATAAATTCTAGTACCTCTTTTTGGTAATAAAACCTACTGTGTGCCAAAGAAAACAAAGATCATCACTTCACTCCAAAATACATCAGAAAACAACTTGGGTACTAGTGTTACATTGTCCATCTAGATCCATTGGTCTACAAAGACATGCACTGCATCCCAAAACATTTTACCAATCATCCATCTACAATACAAGAGGAAAGGAAGCACTTACGGCAGGCAACCGAAATAACTAAGTAAATTACCATAAAGCAACAATCAGAAGTCAGTTTAAAAGGCTCGGGGGCAGTGGGGAGAGAAGGCATGCAAAGAATTCTTAAGTCAGAAAGTCTTATTGAAAGTTCATAGCATTGATTGGGAAGATCCAAAATCTTCAAGCTGAAAGGTAGTCAAAGCAGCAATCACAGCCCTAACCAAGCAAAAACTAAAATCAAACACTGATGTAACAACTATAATAATTTAACCTACAACACTGCTGTGCTATCACCACTCTAGACATAAGTTTCTTGATTCAATAAATTAAACCTGCACTCGAGCTTTCTATAATGATTTGCTTTCAAACCAGATTTTAGTACCAACCAGTTCCTTAAGTCATCTGGAACATTATGTACAAATTAAATTTTAAATCAGAGGCACATACCACACTAACGAATACACTTCGACATTTAGCTCAGTCCAAGAACCTACATATTACATTCTTCAGATTTTGATGTATCCAGGGATGGCGTATAACTCCTTGAACAAAACTTAGAATTTCCCACAGATTGGCAATATATAACCAATCAAAGATAAAGATTAGGTTTATTTCACTTGAACTGGCAAAAATATTATAAATCTGATACCTTGAATTATACTAGTTTACTCATTTTCTTGTATAGTCATAAGCACTAGGAGCTTCAAAGATCTAAACGAGTAAATACAACCCAATAAAAACTGCAAAGAAGACAGAATTTACTGGAAAAGGTCATATGGGAAGATTATAATGAAAATCAGATGACAGTCACAGAAGAAAATATATATTTCTTCATTCGAGCTCATACAGTACTCTATTTTTCAGACATTCTCTCAGAGTGCATGGACATTAAACTTCGCTTGAACCCTCCGACATTCATCATAGATCATCATTGCAATCTGATTAAATACCAAGTATTAGAATGACCCTAAGCATGATTAAACTAACAGTAAAATAAGAAAGGGAAAAAAATTGTAAGCAAGAAGCCTTCAGCCTACCCAATTCAGTTATCTGGAGGGTTATTTAAGGCATTAACTCATCAAGAATCAAATGATAGTATCTACACAGCAATCTATAATCAGACAAGAATAGCAACTTGCAGCAAATAGATAAATTAGATGCTTCAAAGTTCAAACAATACTCCCAAGAAACTAGAATAGGGTCAATAAAGTACCTTCTCTAGCACCACAAAAGAAAACATTATTAAGGTTTGGGTAAAACGTTTTTGAGACAAATTAAAGCTTTAGCCGTCCCACAATATCTAATAACAATGTGCTTCCATAGGACTTCAACATGTAAATACCAAATGATAATACAGTCCAACAGAAGCCAGAATTCACAGAAAGGAAAGTGTCCCAAGTTCTCATTCAGTACTCTACTTATCAGTTGCTTAGACTGCATGGATATAAAACTTCGCTTGAACTCTCTGACAATCATCATACATCATCATTGCAATCTGATTAAATACCAAGTATTAGAATGATGCTGACAACTACAACTGGAAATGCAAAATTCATATCTAAGCAACTTTTGGTCCCACAGACTATCTGATTCAGTTTTCTTGAAGCTTAATATGAAATTAACTCATCAACAATCAATACCAGCTGCATGATTCACAAATCTGCAAGAAATAGGTATTTCGATATCAATCTACAATCAGACAGCACAAATCATATAAATGAACATTTCAAGTCCCAACACCATGTCAAAATACATTTATATCATGTAAGCTGAAGTCATAAGGATTAAAGGAGCTTCAGTTGCGAGTTAGCTACTGCCGAAATTTCTTCAGAGATTAGAAGGGCCAAAAAGGGGATAAAAAGAAGGAGAAAAGGCAAAAAACACTACAGTATCCGAAATGCAACTCTAGCATTCAAGTCAACAGTAAAACAATGAGCAGTGTGTAGGCAATATTTATGATATGAATAGCTGCATCTACTCATCAACTTATATCAAACATCAAGCCTACAACTTTGGTTAGGCATTTGAAAGGCGAGTAATGATTAAGTGGTTCTTCAACACTGGAGAAAGAAAAAGAGTGGTAGCGTAAACCAATATGATCCTTTTTCCGTAGATACTAACATCTTTTACTTGGCAAATCCAAAACTTTTCAGCAAATTCAAGCTTAAGTTTGTAAATTCACAGAGGGGAGGTTCCTCATCAACCCTAAGTGGACCAAAAAAAGGAAAAAGAAATAGCAGCTACAAGTTACTTAAAACTCCAGCATAAGAAGATATACTTGAACTTCATTTCATGATCTTCATCTAGTCCTCTTTTGCCCTACAAGATCAAAAGAATATGCATCGTTTACCTTTACCGGAGGAAAGAGGAAGTAACATATAGTAACAACTTTGGCTGATAAATAAAAATTGAAGAAGTTAAAAAGTTAAAACCATTTTATCAATGGATAAAGTCCTTTGATATTTCGAAGAAAAAAGTATAAATATTCCTACAAAATATGTTTTTAGCAGAATAATTCAATTAATTCTATTGCCAAATATACATACTTTAATTCATCACCATTTATTCTCTCCTTGTGAAGGGAGGGACCTGGAGAGCCAAAAAAACGTCTTTTGAAGTTCAGAGCTAAAATAAATGCAAACATTTCACTACTGCTAAGTGCGGCTTCAGGCAATCAACACTGCCCATATATCGTCTAGACGTCTACCACTAGACTCAAAGGCCAAAATGGAGAAAGAGAGAACATCTAAAGATACAGAATGTTTAGCTTACTGGCAAATCAAAACAATCGAATCTGTACATAGCACAATCTTTTTGAGACCTAAGCAAACACAATTTAAGGCCAAACAACTACAATTCACACATTCACAAAGACACAAACAAAAATATACAGATATAATACAAGCATAAATCAATATAAGAAGTGCAGAATAAAGTAGTATGAAATATACCTTCAAGAGTCCAACCATAACTCCGAGGCGTAGCGGAAAGCATTGAAGTCAGCAATGCAGAAGCAGTGGCAGTGTGATAAGGAAGCATTGTTTCAACTGCGCAGCTCATTTCAACAGGCGACCTAACAAAAATAATTGTAAAATTCAAAAAGATTGAATATCATATAACAAAATTTAACAATAGATACTCAGTTAATCGATGAAAATGAAAAAAATAATCATTTGTGTTTACTGCCTGACCTGAAAATGCGAGCAGTGAGGGGTTTTTGAGTGGGGATGCGAAAGGGAGAAGGAGAGGCCTTAGGCTTGGCAGCGGCGGCAACTCTCGTGGCGGCGGTTCTGGCGGAGGAGGTGGCGGAGCGAAGGACGGACCTGGCGGCGAAAGTGGCCATGCTTCGGATCGCGAGGGCTCTGAGAGAGATGAGATGAGATTCGACCGGCGAAGTGCTAAAAGGGCTTTGTTGGGGTTTTAGGTTCTCAGATTTCGGGGCCTTTTCCGTCTTTTTGTAATCTAATTGATTACAAAACCACAAACGAATGAGTAAATGGCACTAGAGGTCACTAATTTGTTTTGAGAAAGATAAAAGTGAGATTTAACTTGAATCTAGTTCTTTTTATCTTTGTTTTGTGAACATAACAATTTGGTCTTTTAAAACATTTTTGCTCAATCCTGAATTACAAAAGGAAATCAATTATATCAAATTGTTAGTGAGACTACCTATCATTAAGGTTCTCAATACATTTATCTTGTGTCATGGGTACTAACCTTAGCACTTTCACTAATTACAAGAAAAGATAAAGTTATCAATCTTGAACCTATTTTTATCATTGGAATGTGTCTCGCACATTTATTATATAAGTTTTACATCATTAGATTGATTATTTATTCCCGTTTCTTTCATTTATTCAGAGAATTGTACTTTATTTCCGTTCTATTTACAAATCTTGAGAGCTATAAATTGAAGATCAAATTGAGTATTTTCATCATACATTAAAAACGATAGATAAGTGTCCTTCATTTGGGAAATGATTTTTCACAAAAGTATTGGGAAACATCTTAAGCTTGCACGATGTATGTTTTGCGCGGAATCAATTTAGCCACAAGAGCATTATCGTCTAATTTAACTGCATTTTTCACTAGACAAATTCAGTTCTTGGCCCAAGATTGTAGTGGCCCTTAAAAACGGGTAAAGTGTTCAATAATCAAACTTTGATGCATATATTAAAATATGAAAAAGAAAGAGTTTCTAAACAAGTAGCGCCTGTAGCTCAGTGGATAGAGCATCTGTTTCCTAAGCAGAAAGTCGTAGGTTCGACCCCTACCTGGCGCGTTATATATGTTTATTTTGTTGTCATTTGATTTCTGATTGTATTACAGTCCTGGGTCCTGGTTTCTTTCTTGTCTTTGGTTTACAGCTTCAACTTGTTAATCCATTAGTAAAGATTCACTACTTGTTAGTTTATCAAAATCATTTTTGGTTCTTCATAAAACTGTCGAAATTTTTAGTTTTACGCATCAATTCTTAATGATCAAAATATAGGTAACATCAGAAGGCAGAAGTATTACTTGATCCTAAACAATAGGAAGTAACCATAAGAATCTGTTGTTTACAATTGCATGAAGGTTTAATCCATATACAACTGTTAACAATTCTGTGTTATTTTACTCGCTAGGTACAATTTTATTAGCAAAATACAAAGAGAAAAACAAAAAACATCAGTCTAGTGTCACAATCATTTTGGTGACTGCCGACTGTCCTAAATTGTGAGAAAACTCAATGTTTAGGTGAATTACTCTTATTACGACTCATCTTCTCTAACACATTATGTAGCAATGGAACACAAAGTTTCTGTGACATATCCCCTTCTTGGAACTTGTAATCCTCCGACTCTGATCGTCTAGTTGAAACATTCTCATTTTTCTCAAGGTGGACTCTGTTTCGAAAGTCTGATTTTCCTCTGTTTACTGGTCTGATTCCGATAAGTCGGCCTAGAGAAACACTTTGATCTTGAAAGAAAGACATTGTGGACTGAAACATATCCCAGAAAGTAGCATTAATATCTGTTTATGCATTATCAGGGACAGATGCATGTTGCATTCACTGATGTCGAATCCAACTTTATACATATTTAAAGTTTTTTTACAACTATACTAAATTTGAACAACTGTGACCAAGTAATTAATTACCTCAGTGTCAAGGTTGGAGGATGTAAAGGATGAGAAACTAGGTGAAGATATGTACAAACGGTATGCTGCTTCTTCTGTTGCAGCTGCAGCTGTTACAACCTGAGATCTCTCAGCCACTCTAAGCCTTATGTTCATGTTTTCAAGTCCCAGTGGCCATCCACTAGGTTCCTCATGCTCCTGGAAATACATAATTAATTAGTGCAAATTATCAACTGTAACCATTGCTCTTGATCCAAATTATGTACACATATGTAAAACAAATTTACAAGGTATACATGTATTGATATAATAAGATTACACTAATTCTGAACTCTGGCTCTAAATCTTGGATATGCCGAACTAAAAGCACAATCTTAAAAAAGAAAAAATCAAGAACAACGCTAAGAGGCTAAAAGCCTAAGTTTCGAAGCCCAATCTTCACTCCCCTAACTCGAAAAACAAAGTCATCACTCAAGATTGCTGCTATATCACAGCAGAGCAGTGAATCAGTCTTGGATGCAGTTACTCAATCAAACTTGTCACTGCAAAGGGGGCAATTTTCATTTGTTCCTTAATCTGCTGCAATCATTTTATAATATATATGGGATACCCCCTTACCCCAAACCGCATCCCACTACTTCCTTAAGAAAAACAAACAGTTAACCTATTTCCAGGCAGAGGTATGGTTGAAAATACTAAACCAAGAGTTTCAGTGTGCAAATCAAGTGTTCATATTATAGAAAGCTGCCAAGATAATAAACCAAAGAAATAATGTAATAACTTTGAATCCTAATTCGTACGCAAACAAACAATTCATTCAGAAGACTGCCGGTGCAATATCATACCTGTGTTACAACCATGGCTGTAGAATTAAGAAGGGTTTCTCTGGCAAAAGATGAGGAGTCAAGACTCAAGAGAAGTATAAAGATGATGATCTGAGTATATCATTCAAAAGGGACAGCAAAAAGAGTATATTTGGAAGGAGTGAGCACTGAAATCTAAGTTAAATAAAGGGGGAGTCTTTATTACAATCTTCACATTCTTTCCATACAACAAATAAGTGGTTGAATAGCCTTTCCAGGGCCCCACTCAGGGGTTCAGCTTTTATATCGAGTTACACCCTTGGGGGTCCCTTCACGTACGAGACTTCTACTAGTTCACAAATTGGGCTCGAATGCAAAAATAAAATAAAATAAAATAACAACAACAACAACACCACCAACAACAATAATAATAATAATAATACAACGATAACAAACCATTATATTTCCACAAGTGGGGTCTGGGGAGGATAATGTGTACGCATGCCTTAATCCTATGTAGTGAAGGTAGAAAGACTGTTTTCAATAGACTCTCGACTTAGAAAAGATGAGAAGAAGAAGAAGAAGAAAAGGAGGGAGAATAAGAGAAAGAAAGGAATGGGGGAGAAAAGAGGGAATAGGAAGAGAGAAGTAGTACTAAATAATAACAACAGGTACGGTAACAGAAGCAAACTAGACCATATGACGCAATAAAGAATTAATTAAGAATGTGCAGGAACATGAGTGCTACCAAAACTACCGGTAAGAAAAGGAGAAACTTTTCACTACCTACTAAATTTCTACCATAATCCTCGATTTCAACGCTTTTCTATCAAGGGTCATATCCTCAGTAAGCTGAAGCCGCACCATATCCTGCCTAATCACCTCTCCCAGTACTTTTTTACCTACCTCGATAATAATAATAATAGATATTAGCAATTCTTTCACCTCAACAGAACAATGGTAGTTATTAGTTTAGTTTTCTCCTTTGTTTTTCTTCGTAAGTTTTTTACCCCTAGTTTAAACAAGTGCCTACAAAAGATTGAGAGGGTTTGATCAACTATTAATTCCATTTCTTTGATACTTTGTAGACGTTTGGACAATTTTTGGTTGATGTTGAAAAATAATATTTGAAATTGAGGTTAAAAAGGAGTCTCTTATAACAAAATTAGTTTTTGGACGTACAATACATTGTATGTTTACTTGAAAAGCCATTATTTTCTCAAGCCAAAATGGAAAGGAGGCCCTTCTTTCTAGTAGGTTGAAAATGATTATTAGATGTCGGGTCTTAATAAGAATTAAAATTTGTTAAACAAGATAAAGAATGGCCCCCTTGAGAGACGAGTTCAACTGTGTGCATTTGATAGGTTAGCAGTTCATGAAATTATATGTCACTTACTAATACTGCGACAACTCGAAAACTATGGTTGTTGAATGAATGACAGCTATATTTTATTATGCATAAATGCAGGTTACTGGTTCATTTTCAGCTTAATTACAACCTCTGCGAAGTATACAGTGAGTTTTCCTTTTCTTTCACGTCACCGTGAGCTTGATTCATACTTTCTTCGTATAATTTTACTTGTTCACTATAATAAAAATAAATTTTTATTTTTATTTGTCCATTTTAGCATATCAAGGAAAGACAAACTTTTTTTTCTTGTTTTACCCTTAACATTAACTATTCATTTTCAAATAATTCTCCAAGTTCGATAAAATTATACACCAATTAATATGCAAAATAAAAAATGTACATGTAAAAGTGAACAGGAGGAAGTACTTAATAATAACTCAGGTCATATTCTCTTTTTTTTAAAGTTTTGTCGGCAAAAAGCATTTAAATAAAATTATTTGTCTAAACTGTCATTTATCTCTTCTTCTTCCTCTTAAATATGTCATTTAATTATACCTAATTGGACTAGTGAGGCAGATTTAAAAATGAACCAATGTTTTTTTTTTTTTTTTTT